GGTGAACCAAGAGGATTTGCGGCGCTTGATGCGGGAGAAGAAGCGTTCGACGGAGCGCGATAAGCGCGTGGACTCGCCGCACGCCCGATACAGTAGTGCGGGTCAGCTGAGCTGCGCGCTGTGCAACGCGCCGGTGAAGTCCGCGCTGCTGTGGCACACTCATGTACTGGGCAAGACACACAAGGACCGAGTCAGCGAGCTGAAGAACAGGGAGAACACCCCCTCATCATCCTCATCCTCACTGCTGAAGAGCAGAACAGCACCCGCTCCTTCATCATCATCTTCCTCATCCTCACTGCTGAAGAGAGGCGCGCCCGAGCCCGCGAGTTCAGCATCAGCAGAAGGGAAGAGAGCCAAGACCCGCGTCACTGCAGGTGCGACACAACAACAACAACAACACCATCACAGAAACACCATCACAACAACACCACCAACATCACATCATAAACACCAAACTTTTGCGATATTTTCCGATTAAAAAACTATTGTGAAATGAAGGCGTTCACATTAACCGATGTTATGCGACTAAAACCTTTTTCTTCTCGCGATAAGTCATTCCAGAATTCATGGCAACGGACGTTGGTAGGTTTATAACCTATATATCACAGCCACTGCACCGCACTAGACACTATTACTACTAATGGAAGGAGACGTGTGTGTTATCCTAGCATTAACATTTGGAGTTGATCTTTAATGTTACAAGTGCTGTTTTCAAGTGTGTGTGCCTAAACTAGTTTTGTAACAAAAGAGATCGAGTTTAATTTATCCAGTGTATGTTAGGGATGTAACAATTTTGTATGAAGTATATACATGCAAATATTTCTTAAATGTATATGCACGTGTGTATTTATATATACAACATAACTATACACATGTATTATGTAAACACAAACTTTTATTTTTGGATGTGATTAATCGTTTCACAGCCCTAATAATATTATCTCAGGCAATTTACATGTTTACACGCCACCGGAGACGACGGAGAAACATATAGAGAGCATCAGCTTTAGTTTCTGCTCTGATAGACGCAAGATTTGTGTGTTTGTGGGGAGAGAACATTGTGCTCGATACGGTTTTTGTGTCTCCAGCCGACGAAGGTTAAACCCCGTCTGGCTTGCACTCTTCCTGTAATGTTTACGAGTCAGGTCAGTAGACGGCCTTTTGTGGCTGTTTGAACACCTTCCACCACATGAGCGTTTACACTACGAAAGCAATCCGCTGCAAAACGAAGGTGTTTTCAACCATCTCTGGAAGTGCTGGAAAGGGGACGAGCTCAAAACATTTCAGACCCCGTTTACACCTGTATTTATCATCGTCCATTTGTGCTCCGATCGTCAAAAATGCTTCGGGGTGGCCGACAGGACCGAAATCGTAGATCGTGATGAGTCATTTTATTTCACCATCACAATCATGCACTATATCATTATTTTTGCTTTAAATTAGGTTTTTATTATTTTAAATTTCCTAATTCTTGTCACCATTTTCAATGTCATTTAAACGAATACTTTAATAAATAAAAAAACTTTCAAGGTTACTAAAAAGTAAACGGTAATAATTACAATCATACTGGAAAACGATCTACGATAGAACAAAGGCACAAGTGAAAAAGGCCTACCTGAAAACCTTCAAGCACTAGAAATAAGAAATACTAAATTAATTGAAAAGTAACCTGTATTGTTTTCTTTCTCCTGTTCTCCTCGTTCAGGAGTGTCTGAGTGAGCAAGTGCAGATCCTTCAGGGAAAGATCTCCGTTCTGGAGGATGAACTCCTGAAAGCTCAGTCTCCGGACAGAGGAGAGGTTTTGGGACCCATCATGGAGGTGAGTATGGAGCACTAGGAGTGACGCTTAAAAATAAAAGGAGTCATTTATCAAATTATTAGTCCAGACAATTGTTTTCTATTATTTAACAACTACATTTAAAAAAAAAAAACTTTAGCTGATAATTTTCTCACCCCTGTCTTTTCCGTGTCTGTCCATCTCTCGGTCTATGTTTGTCTTTATGTCCCTCTTTTCCGCCCGTCTGTCTGTTTTTATTACTCCTTGCACAATATATAAGTATTACACAGGGATAATTTCTGGTTCAGTTTTGTGGACTGTGGTATAATATTGGCCCAGTTGTGTCTGTTTTCTGCAGCTTCTGGATAAGATGTGTCTGAGTTCTGGCCTAAAGGTGGTGTCCGTTTGGCTTTTGTCTGGCTGACATATGGGGATTACGGCGTTGTTTTGGGCCAGTTCTGGATAATATCTGGGTACATTGTAAAGCTCTGGGCGAGTTTTGGTTTTGGTAAGCGTTTTAGAATGACCCCGATTGGCCGACCCGTAGCCGCCTACACACTCACTCAATGCATGGACGATCTGACGGGATTAACGAACGTTTCCTCGGTCGAGTGGCCTGACTTCTACACCTACCTTATAGAGAAACCCATCGTAAAGAGAAACTGAGGGCATATAAATCTTTAGATGGTCCTGTACAAGACTTGTGTGTACGATCCGCAGTTCTGCCGAGACCACGACAATATACAGAGTGACATTACAGTGCGATTTTAATGATGTCAATATTTTCTAGAAATAAAAGAAATCAATTCTTGCACCAAACACAACAAGATGACGTTTAATAATAGTAACAATAATTTAAGCTCCTTATTATGTAGCCGAATCTGTGCTGGTTTGTATTGGCCGCCTCCAGTTTTCACTTGTTTTGCCTCCAGCTAGAGCCGTGACGTAACTGACGTCGGCACAAAAGGGGTCTATAAGGGACATTGAAGCAGCTCATGATTACATTAGAGCAGAATCTCGGCATTTTTTGTAAAGAAGTTCATACAGTTTCAGAGTTTTTATGTCTGTATCTGTTTTTTCTGTAAATGCCAGAGCTGTTAGAGACCCATTGAAAAGGAAATGTTGATTTTTATTTCTTCAAAACAAAGGTGCTGATTTTTATTTTACACAGGAGACTCATGCTTCTAATTCGGATATTTCTTTTTGGAAGAGTCAATGGGGGAGAAATATATGGTTTTCATTTGGGAGTAACCGGTCAGCAGGGGTCGCTATTTTACAGGGAAACTTTAAACATTTATCAGATTCAAGTGGGAGATGGGTAATACTGGTTGGTGATGCAGATCATTCCCAATTCATTATTATTAACATTTATGCGTGTAACAACAAAAAAGACAACAAGTTATTATTTACAACAGTAGAAGATAAAATTAGCCAGCTGATTACAACTTTTCCTACTGCCAAGATTATATGGGGAGGTGATTTTAATACAGTTACGGATGGAAATCTGGATAGACGGCCTCAAGAAACAGTTCTTCAGATGAGTTGGAGAATGTATGTCACAGGATGAGTCTTGTAGACATCTGGAGACTGATCTCAGTGTGTGTCGACACACCTGGCCAGGACAAAATGTCTCTCCTCTTGCCGTTCATGATCCAGCATTATCTGCCCAAACCCTTGATTCGCGTCTAGCACAGAAAAGTACTTTGCATTCGGCATTCTTGAGTCCATCTTCTGCTGTCAGCATTGGATAATGCTCTCTTTTTAAGATCTTTAGGATCCACACAAATGTACGTTTTCTTGGATGTAACTACAGGTTCAATGCTGTCGACCCATTCAGTCGGCTCAGTTTGCTTTGCGATGACCCCCACCCGCTCCATTCTCTGTAGTTCTTCAAGCACTTTCTCTCGCAGAGCTACAGGTCTCCTTCTTGGCGCATGCACAACTGCTCTGACATTTGGATCAGTTTGTATGTGGTGTTCTCCTGGTCAACAGCCTAGTCCTTCATATAGATCGCCACAATCCTGGAGAACATAATTGCTTATGTTATCCCTCAACTAAATATTGAATATGCTAAAAGAATTAATGATGATTTAGCAGTATATAGCAGAAATGATGTGGATAGAGAGCAATAAACCTAAGCAAGCTGTGATTGCGTCAGACTCCAGTTCAGTATTGTTAAGTCTCAAGCATCTTCACTCTGAGTCTAGACAGGATATAGTGTTTGAAATAATCCATTTAGCTAACAATCTGCGGAAGTCTGGTATTAGTACTACATTTATATGGGTGCCAGCTCATAGAGGTGTAGGAGGTAATGAGTTGGCAGACAAATGTGCGAAGAAAGCAGCAGAGAAGGATTATAGAGATATCAAATACAGCAAAGCTGAAGTTAAAAGTATAATTAAAACTAAAATTAATGAAAAATGGCAGTTTCTTTGGAACAATGAACAGACTGGGAGATACTTGTATAGAATTCAAGGAAAAGTGGGAAAGAGCAGGAATACATACAGGAAAAGGCAAGAAGAAGAGGTGGTGTCTAGAATGAGATTAGGGTTAAATAGAACGTTATTTATAATGAATAATCATGTTGATGGAAAATGTGATTACTGCAATAGTCAAGAGACAGTAGAACATGTAATTATGAATTGTCCTAAATAACATCAAGCTATAGGCAAAGGCTGATATCACAACTAGGTGAGAATGGGATTACCCTAAACTTACAGGAAATAATGCAAAGAGGGTCTGGTGAAATTTGTTTTTATTTTTTGTTTTCTTTTTTAAAGATAACTGGGTTAATTAAAAGAATTTAAAAAGTGTAGTCAGACCAGGTTGCAGAGTATGAGTTTGACCCATTGATCCACACTCCAGTCCAGATGGTGGCGGTAATGCACCAAAAAGCTGGTTGCCAACCGCCATAGAAAGAGAAGAAGAAGAAGAAGAAGCAGCAAAATATGCTCTCACACGCATGCGCCGTGGTGCTCTCGTGAACGCGCGTCTCTGTTTACGTCTCTGTCGTCACACACAGAAAGTGAAAGTTAGTTCTCCTGTCGCCATTTTGATCTGGAAAAATATAATTTTATCAACGCTTAAGAATTAATTTAATTGTATTTTTATGATGTTAAATCTGGAGGATTTGAGGTCCTGTATCTTGTAAAAGTTTGATCGAGGTGAGTGTTCATGTGTGACTCTCATATTAATATGAATCTCTGGAGGAGATTTTACGTGATTGTTTGATTTGATATAATAAAATCTTTAAAGGGTTTCTTTCACTCCAAGTTTTCTTTTGTGTTTGGTAATGTTTGTGATTCTTCAGAAGTTATATATGTGTAAATATTCATTAGCTTATGTGTAAACATTCATAGGCCAAATCACAGCTCACAGACACACGCTTTTTAAACACCGGATCAGAGTCTGTCGATGCGGGTCGGGGTTTGTTTTCTTTCACCCGAACATGTTCAGCGTTTCCGGTGTCCGTTATTTCCATGAATTCTAAATCCAACGCCCGACGTGTGTGTGTGTGTGTGTGTGTGTGTGTGTGTGTGTGTGTGTGTAAAGGCCCAATGGGCGTGAGTTAACGAATTCACACGATCCCTTTTTTCACACACTCCAGATATGTTCAGCTAAATTACGAAGGTTGTTTAATTTAATCATTTAATATTGTGTGTGAATGTTTGTTCATCAGAGTCAGTGGAGGAGATCAAACTCATCAGATTCTCCTGATCTTCATCATGGCTGATTCACAAGCATCCAGAGATGGAGATTTCTCTCCAGGACGCAGGTACTTTCAACTAACACTGTTAAATATTGTGTCGCATCACAGAAAACTATCAGTTTTTGACCCCCCTGCACAAGTTTACAAGAGAAATGTATATGTTTGTGTCTATTTTTGCATGTGTTTTTGTTTGAAATTAACATGAAATATTAAATAATAAGATCATAAAGTTTCTTCAAAGTGCTTTAAGATGAAAGATGAGTGTGTTTATAAAGAATGAACTCCATAATCTATGGGATTAAAGTAAATCTGTTTTCTGTTCCAGTTCAGTCCAGCAGAAGAGCTCAAACCCAGAGTCCAGCTGTGTGTCTGTGAAGAGTGACTGGTCTATGGATCATCCAATAACGTTTAAGAGTGGAGACACACGGCCTAATCTCAGGTATATCATTTCTATAAAAGATGTGCTTATAGTGACACTTCTGAATTAGACTCATAATTGATCTCAGTCAGTCTAACACTAGCAATGACATCAAGTAAATGTAAGCTGAGGTTTTCTCCACCTTTATATAATGGAGTCGGTGTAAAATTGAGCAGATTTTTCTAAGCACTTTGTTTTGTATTTTACTAGTTCAGTCCAGCAGAAGAGCTCAAACCCAGAGTCCAGCTGTGTGTCTGTGAAGAGTGACTGGTCTATGGATCAGCCAATACGGTTTAAGAGTGGAGACAAACGGCCTGATCTCAGGTATATCATTTATATAAAAAATGTGCTTATAGTATTTGATTTTTATGAAATTGTTAAAGCAGCACTCTGTAGTTTTTTCAACCTGCTTTATGGCATACGTCACTTCCCCCACTTCCTCAGATTACGACGCGAGAGCCCTATCTACAAACAAACATTGAATTGAATTAGCATATCCATTATGTAAAACAGTAGCCAATGGGCTAGCGTTACTATAAAGACGCTGGCTTATAAACGTGAGCTACGCGATCTTTTGACGTTTGAAAAAAATAAAGCCCATAAGAGATGCAGAAATAGATGCCACTGTACCTGTGATGAAGACATTTCACACGCAACACTGGAGTCTGCCCAAGATCTGACAACTCCTTCCTTCTGCAGAGTTCGGGATCGCTTGTCAACAAACACACGCGTGTATTCCCTAGTGTAACCATGACAGATTTTACCACAGAAGACAATACTGTTTCCCAACTGCAGGGGACCCGAGAGCAACCTTTCAAAAAAATAACAGAATGGGCTTTAATATACAGCAGTTTAATGAGTTGAAATCCTGTTAGTTTGAGTCTATTAATGATGATGATTGTGCTCTTGTGTAAAGCTCTATGTATTGTATTGTTAATACATTCACACACTGTAAAAGCTGTTGGTGTTTTACTCAGTTAATGACACAATTAATCAATATCAGTGTGTCTGATTCTTTACCCTCTTCATTCTGATTTAAGGTCAAATCTTCCATCCAGACCAGTTAAAAACAAAACTGTGTTCATGCCTGTGATTCAACCACAAGACTTTCATGAACGCATGTGTCCTGGTTTCAGGTAAAATGCAGGACTGTCGTTGTAATTTATGGTTATTTACTCCTCTGACTTGTGTAATAATGTGTTATTGTAATCTTCCGCCATGACTCTAAAGCTGCTGAAGTCCTCAACACACTGAGATCAAATCTGAGACAGAAGTTTGAGTGTGTGTGGAGGGAATATCAAAGCAGGGAAAGCCAACACTCCTGAATGAGATCTACACAGAGCTCTACATCACAGAGAGTGGAAGTGGAGAGATCAATAATGAGCATGAGGTGAGACAGATTGAGACACAGTCCAGGAGAGCAGAAACAGAGGACACACCGATCAAATGCAGTGACATCTTTAGACCTTTACCTGGACAAGACAAACCCATCAGAACTGTGCTGACAAAGGGAGTCGCTGGCATTGGAAAAAACAGTCTCTGTGCAGAAGCTCATCCTGGACTGGGCTGAAGGGAAAGAGAATCAGGACATCCAGCTCATATTTCCACTGGCTTTCAGAGAGCTCAACTTGATGAAGGACAAAACACTCAGTCTTTCAGATCTTCTTCATCACTTCTTCCCTGAAAGCAGAGAAATGGCCATATCCAGTGATGAGTATAAAGTGCTGTTCATCTTTGATGGTCTGGATGAGTGTCGTCTGTCTCTGGATTTTCAGAGCGATGTGAGGTTGTGTGATGTGACTGAATCAGCCTCAGTGGACGAGCTGCTAACGAACCTCATTGTGGGGAATCTGCTTCCCTCGTCTCTCATCTGGATCACCTCCAGACCAGCAGCAGCGGATCTCGTCCCCTCTGAGTGTGTCCATCGAGTGACAGAGGTACGAGGCTTCAGTGACACACAGAAGCAGGAATACTTCAGGAAGAGGATCAGTGATCAGAGTCTGGCCCACAGGATCATCTCACACCTGAAGTCTTCAAGGAGCCTCTTTATTATGTGCCACATCCCAGTGTTCTGCTGGATCTCAGCCACTGTTCTAGAGGAGATGTGCAGTGAAGCAGAGAGACGAGAGATTCCCAAGACTCTCACTCAAATGTACACACACTTCCTGCTCATTCAGACCAACATCAAACATGAGAAGGACTATGAGAAGAAAGTGAAAGATGAAGACATGATCGTCAAACTGGGGGAACTGGCGTATCGGCAGCTTGTGAAAGGCCACCTGATCTTCTATGAGGAAGACCTGAGCGAGTGTGGCATTGATGTGGCAGAAGCATCAGTTTACTCAGGATTGTGCACTCAGATCTTCAGAGAGGAGTTGGGCTTGTGTCTGGGGAAAGTCTTCTGCTTTGTTCATCTGAGCATTCAGGAACATCTAGCAGCTCTATATGTGCATCTCTCCTTTATCAACAATAACATCAATGTGTTTGACCAGATTACCAAACCAACTAATGGAGGCAAAGTGTCCCTATCTGATCTCCATCAGAGAGCTGTGGATGAGGCTTTACACAGTAGAAATGGGCATCTGGACCTTTTCCTTCGTTTCCTTCTGGGTCTGTCAGTGGAGTCTAATCAGAGTCTCATACAAGAACTAAAGACACAGACAGCAAACAGCTCTCACAACAATGAGGAAACAGTTGACTATATTAAAGAGAAGATCAGGGAGAATCCCTCTCCAGAGAAATACATCAATCTGTTTCACTGTCTGAATGAACTGGGGGATCTTTCTCTAGTCAACGAAGCTCAACCTCATACGAATGGAGGATTACGTGATGTGAAACTCTCCTCGTCTCAGTGGTCAGCTTTAGTGTTTGTGTTGTTGTCCTCAGAGGAGACACTGGAGAGGTTTCACCTGAAGAACTTATTTGGATACAGTAATGATGGGTAAGTAACACTGAGTGCAATCATTACAGTCTAAAACATTATGAAGAAAGAGAAACTCGGAGATCAGAGGTGTTTAAATCACGGGCTCAGACTGATTTCTGGGATATTGTCCATAATTTGCGGGTGTTTCTCAAACCGTGGCTGTGTCCTAGTAAGGCTGCATATCTCGACTGCCACGTCATCAAGCGCCTCTGAAGGCCGTCTCAGTTTGAAGGATCTTTTGAAGACAGACTTCATTTTGTGTCTTTAATTCAGATCATTTTGTGTTAATGTAAGACACTGGGAGACACAGACGGCTGTCATTCACTGGATTGCAGTAATAAAACAGCAAGTTAATAGAAAGTGTTTTTCCAAAATGAAGTTTTAATAGTGACAGCAAGTGGACGTCCGCGGATCCTCCTGATGATGATAATGACGTCACGCGGACGGCCAAAGTAGACTTGATAAAACAGTGAATGTCCTTGATGGCGTTCAGCTCTACTGTCTGCTGGAAGAGTCACTACACACACACACACACACGCACACACACACACACACACACGCACACACACACACACACACACACACACACGCACACGCACACACACACACACACACACGCACACACGCACACACGCACAGACACACGAAACACAGGGACAAAACGATGAGACAGTGCAGTGTAAGTGTATGAAATGACCAGGAAATGGATCTGTAAGGGAGAGAGGAGTAACGGGTGAATGTCCATGTGCGATCAGCATCTCGTGTGTGTGTGTGTGTGTGTGTGTGTGTGTGTGTGTGTGTGTGAGTGTGTGTGTGTGTGTGTGTGTGTGTGTGTGCGCCAGTGCTGCTTCCCCAGCTAATGTGACTATCATTATTACTTCTCATTTCAAAAACAACTTGTTTAACACAAAATACTTCTTGAATCATGAAAATATACGCATTTGACAGGACAAAATCTGATATGTCGAATAGTGTTGTAGTGTAAATGTAGACTAATAGACCTTGACAAACGACATTGACAAGAAAAAGAGAAAACAAATCTGTGTTGCTGAATACGAGACTTCGACAGTTATAGACACTAAACAACTTTAACACTCGTCCTTTATAAAGCTGTGTTTCATTAAAAAAGGTAAAATCTATTATTTACTTATAATATGAATTATTATTGTTAGCGTTATTAATTGTTTATTTTTTATTTTCTATTAGTGTCCCACAAAACACTGCAGATGAAGTTCTCCAGAAGCTGATGCCTGTGGTTACAGCAACTAGATCAGCTGTGTAAGTAACACTGAGAACAAGCATCACTGCTAAAACATTACAACAGTTCTTACTTAAACATTATAAATTATATATTATATACAATTATAGAACTGTAAAAGCAGGCTGTTTAGTTCACATGGATAAGATTTGGGAAAATAAAATAAATCCTGTTTTCGATGACTGGAATTTTTTAAATGATATTTGTTTATATCATTAAAAAACAATTATTATATATTTCTAATAAAGGGACTGATGAGATGATCTTTAAGTTTATTCAGCTCCGTATGGAGAGGGATAAGGCTTTCACAGGCGTGAGTTCCTGTTTCCGGCGTGACGATCGAGTCTGTCCCAAAAATACCTCTCAATGCAGCCTCGCGGACTCGGGCTAAGGGCCCTATAGGTCTGCACTACATGACGTCACCGAAGTGTGGACTCTGAGGAAGTCCACAAGTTCAGAGTGTGCCATTTGGGACAGGGCCAGAGAGTAACCCTGACGGCACTCGTGAGAAAATGAAAATTACCTACATAATGAAAATTAGCTACATAATAAATTCAACAAATATGACTACATTTAAACATTATTCAAATACATAGACTACTGAGTTACTCAGGGGCACAACTACCCAGTGTCAGAAGTGGACCTCTGTTTCTCTAGGGAGGTTGGGGCGCATGCTCCCCTGTAAGACAATTTTGTGTTCTTTAAAGGTTAAATTCAGCAGTCTGGTGCGCTTTGAGAGTTCAAAATTAAAAGCTCCAACCCATATTCAGGGTGCAAATTAAACAAAGAAAAATTCAAACCTTAGTGTCTGTCTACAGTACACTACTAGGGCTGGGACAATGCATCTATCTCCAGATTCGATACTTTTGCGATGGTGCCGATTACGTGCGATCTACAATATTGCGATTCGATATTGAAATGTAGTGTGATTTTGTTTTTAACACTAGACTATGGGGAAAAGTTCAATCATACACTTACACAGACTGTACATGATGTGTAAGATGAGTCATATTTACTAAAACAATTCATCACATCTATGAGTTTTTATTTCAGGAGCATCATACAGTTCTACATTCTCTTGAATAAAATAATTCAATAACAAATACATTTTTAAGTCACTTGTCGCCACCTAGTGGAGAAACAATGTAATGGATAAATGTGTTGTTTTAAGCGGCAAGTTTCTTTTAAAAGCTGATTTACTCTATTGTGATCGGTACCGTAGATATCAGTGTTTATATTTGAGCTTTAAACTTTTACGCAAAGCGCGTGAATCAACTTTTGATGCGCTCGACCCAAGTTTGAATCCGCCTTTTGCCGAAGTCTCTTCTCCCTTTTCCCAACACATATGAGAAGATGTAAAATGTATAACCTAACATAAAGGTCTCTAGCGTTATGTTTTGCCAATGAACTAATATCGAAACCATGATATGGCTTTTTTTCCGTTATAAAACGGCACAAGACTTTAAGAATAGGCATCAGTGCTGGGTGAATTAAAGAAAAGTGTGCACTTTGCTCACGCGATCATCATGGTCATCTGGTGTTTTCTCCTAAATACAAGTTCAAGGGTTTATTTCTTGCAAGTGTAGAAATAAGGACAAAAATATTTAAATGGGGGGCATTTTAAAACGGGGAGCATGCCCCCGAACCCCTCTAGAGGAACAGTAAATCAGTAAAAACTGTAAATGCTATATTAAGGGTCGACCCCAACATAGTTTTACAAATTCATTATAAAGAACAACCATTTATAAACTTTACTCCAGTATAGTACAACAAAGTTAATTTTAAGTCAGTAGAACTGTATGTAGAAATGCCATATAAAAAATGTCCTTGGACAAAATTATACATTTGGCCTGCTTAAGAGGCGGCCTACAAGACATTGTGCCCAGGGGCCTCTGAACTCTTAATCCGGCCCTGTTTAAAAAGACCTTTCGTGAAGCTGTTAATAAACTCTCTCTGGGTCAGCAGCAGTGGCAACACAGATAGATAACGAAAAGTTAATCCTCTGTTGGAGTAAGAGTGGCGAACTTCT